TCCGGTGAGCAGGGGCTGGGCCGCGGGGGGGACGGGCCGCCCCTGGCACGGCGAAGAGAGCGCGGGGCTTTGGCTGGTAAAAGCTGTGACCTGGAATGCCAGCCTCTCTTGCTTTTGGCTCTCTTTTGAGTCCTGTGCTTATGTCAGTTGAAGGCCCAGAGGGAGGGTCTTGTCTTGACCCAGTAGACTGCCGTGAGACTTCAACGCCAGGAGCAGGGTTTAAGTTAGTTATTACTGTTCCATCTACTCCCTGTAGAACACGCTGCTTTCTGTCCTTATGTTGAGAAAAAAAAATAACAGAAGTATGAAGAAACATAGAGAACTTGAATGCTGTGAGTAATGCAGTGTTATCAAGCATTTTGTCTTGATAACACTGTAGGGGTGGTAGGTTGATCAGAGGATGCACATAGCTGGCTTTTGGAGAAGCTTGTAAATCTTGAACAGCATCATTTTGAGTTGGTATTGCACAGTCAGACCTACAGCTTCCTTTATTTGTACAAAAATTCAATGCTTGTTAACATTCATGTTGTATCTTACACTGAGTAATACCTGACAGAAATAATATTTTACTATAGATAAGCCTTCTAGTTATTCTAGACAAGTAAGTGAAAATACTTTTTTTTTCTCTAACACCAATGTTATTCCTTTGTGTTAGGAAGGTAGAAGACTAAAGTAACTGATTAAGTAGTTTGATTTTAAAACAGAAAGTACGATAGCCTTTAGAGAAGAATACTGAATGCATGGGGTTTTTTTTATACATTCCTGGAAAGTATTGCATGTGATCCAAAGCACTTTTTTTCCCAGAAATCTGAGTGCTTGTGGAGGATTTGAAGTCTGTGATGACATGGTGACAAAAGACATCATGACACCCCTTGTTGCGCTTCTGAAAGAGGTGTGTTTATTTTCATTCTGATTTTCAAACTGATCTAGATATTGAATTATCCCATTTTCAAAAAACAATTCAATTTTTGTATCTGTTATCAAGATAAGATATTTGAAATATCTTTTAAAAGAGTGCTTCAGCAGGTTTAATAGCACCAGAATTATTCCAGAGATTTTGAACCACTTGCTTCTGCCTCCTGACCTTCTAACTTAGGTCTGTAGTGAGGTTTTCCACCTAGAATGATTTCTGTATAAATGGTCTGGAGATTTTGAGTCTGGAACATCTGTCAAGACAAGTCTATTCTGTCAGTTAAGATCCAGGTCAGACATTTATGTTGCAACATTAGTGATTTTTTTGTGGTAAACAATTTTGTGTAAATGAACAGTTGGGTAGACAGATGTAGAACGGATTTACGGTTGGGTAGTTACTGCTATTTAGAATAATCTGTACTGAATACCTGTTCTTTGTTAGGTCCAGGTGTTGCAGTGCAGTTTGGAAATTGCATTGAATTCTGTCACCTGCTGTCTTTGTATGAGCAGCCTTGAGCAATACCATAGTTTTCTGTATGTTTCTTCCCCCTTTTAAAATATGGGTAAAAATACGGCAGTATTGTAAACCACGGTAAAATATTAGCTGAATTAATCATTGTGATCAGAAAGAACTGTAGACGATTACTTACGGATGGTATTAGCAAGAAACAGCATTTCACATTTTAAAATGAATTTTTTTTTTTAATTTAAAATGCTTCTGAAGACTACTGAACACAAGTACTATAAGAGTCTTTCTACAAGAGAAAAAAATATTACCAATTAATCAATTCCATTGCAGCCATGTTTCCATAGAGAACAGGAGACTAGTCAAGCTTTCTGGTAACAGACTTTTCATGAGAGATCTTTCCATTCACTCTGCTGCTAATGTTTTAAGTTTTTGCTCTTCTCCTTGGCTCATTTGCTTCCCAACCCTGCTTCTCTTTGTTTGGTTGTAGTGTAGCACTGGACTAGATCCTACCCAGCTCTCTCCAAAAAAATGCAGAGAGATGAACAAAAATTATATTGAAGACATAGCCAATGAGGCTGTTAATTTGCTGTGGAATGTATGGTAAGTGCAATGTAAACACTGGCCTTTTAGAAGAGCTAAATTAAATTGCTCCTGAAAAAGAACATGACAGCTGAGGCTGAAAAGGAATGACTGTCCTTGCATGGCTTATGTGTTCAGTTGCCGCTTCCGATTTCCGATTGTGCTGCTTTCATGTGTGCCTTGCGTAATAAATGGCAAGCTTTTGTCTGATTGGAAATACAGGTTTATTTTGTACCATAAAATACCTCTGTAAGAAAAGGACTTTAAAAGTGTACAAAGTTTGTCATTGGTTTTAGGAAGGTGACGAAATTGGTTTTTATTGGTTGTTCATCTTAAGTTCTGTTGTTTCCTGAATGTGTGGTCTCCTGTGCAGTTTTGGTTGTAGGGTCTTGCATGCAATTTCTGCAGATCCAAATTGTGACATGGGACATGGAGAAAATTAATTTGTGATCAGGGCTCTGGGAGCGTGAGGGGTTTTTGTACTACTTCCTCCCTCTGCAAGTAATCCCAACAGTTAATATTAAATTCTTGGACAAACTATCCCTTAGTGACTGAGGCACTGATACAGATCTACTTAATTATGTGAGAAAGAATGTGGGTTGTTCAATTAGTAGTTTTCTTTGGAAACACTGGGTGAAGGAAGAGAAATGATAACACTATTAACACAGAAATGGCTATAAACACTAAAGTGGTGCAAACCTGAAAGCTCTTTGTGAATTTTGTGTGGTTTGTTTTGTTTAACAGCTCCACATCCTTATACCCTTTGGTCCATACAGAGTTTTGATGTGTACTGTGCAGTCACAACTGCCTCTCTGTCTGCCTGTGTGGTGTGGCTGCTGGCTTGAGGCCTTATTTGAAAATTGTTGTGTGGTTTTTTTTTTTTTTATGGATTGGAATCTAGGACAGTACAGAAGCTTCTTGCTCAGCATCTTACACAGAATACATGACCCTTTAACTGACAACAATGTTTTGTGCTCATTTTTTAATTCTTTTTGTGGATATAAGTACTTTGGAACAGGAACTATAAATTAAGTGTGCTGTAAATCACTTCTGTATTTTGAACTTTGCGGCAATCGCTGTGAACTTCTGACGTCATCGCCAAGTTTGGTATTGATGAAGTTGGGGCTGACACTGATGCTGTGACATAATATTTTCAGAAGACCCTTGTAGCTAGTTAGGTCCCGTGCATTTTTAGTTTGAATTTGTCTTGTATTAATATCTTAGGTTAGAAATGAGAATAACTCTGAAAACTTGAAGAACTACAAATCCCACTGTTTGATAATTAAACATCACATTTAACATTCTTTAGCATGCATTTCTGAATGTTAAGGGCAGTCGTTTTCTGGAGTAAGCTAACACTAATGACAGAGGCAACTCTGTTATCAGTGGGTTTTTGGATAAAGCCTTCCATAGTTGCAGAAAGCCCTGGGCAGGCTTGTAGCCCACGGCTGTAAGCTGCCTTTCACACTCAGGTTAGCTTTGTCTGCATGAAACAGTACTTGGGCTCCCAAATCAACTCTTGAATATTGTGTGTGAGGAAGCAGCTGACAGAAGACAGCTTTCCTCAAAGATCTCCAAGGTGTTGCAGCTTCTGTCTCCATTTTATTTTTCAGTTGATCATAAACTCAATAACAAAGGATAGCTCTTTGACTAACACGTAATCCTTAGGTAGGGTTTTAAAATGTGAGTAGTAGTGAATACATGTTACTTATAATGTTGTCACAGTAATTTTTTTTCCTGGGAAAAGTGTTTAATTAATCTTTTTCTGTGCATTAGTGAATGCAACAATACTGCAGTATACATATTTAATAAAGAAGGCTGTCTGGAGGCTTTGTTAGATTGCATGAAGAAATTTTCTACAAATGTGGATCTGGCTATTTCAGTAGGTAAGTGGCAAAAAGAGAAGATATGGATTTAAAGATACTTTTTTGAAATGTACTAGATGAATCTAACAGTGATGTCACATCCGTTGCATAACTTAAACCTTACACTGAATATAATTCTTTTCTGGACAGCGTATCATTCAAAAGTTGACAGTTGTTGTGCTTGTTTTCAGTCCAAAGGAGAATGGCTTATTGGTAGTTATGTAGGAGGAAAAATTTTCGGTGGGAAAAAAGCTATAGATAGAAGCTTTCTGCTTTTGGTAATGATAGTGTTTAATTTATAGAGCAAAGGACACAGTCCACCTAAAAAAACCCCAAACTCCTATGACATTCAACATGGTTTTATTAGTAGTATTGTTATTATAGTCTTAATGGTCTTACAGGTGTATGTGCTCACAACATTTTCTGATGTTGTCTCTAGTCAATGTACAGTTAAGAAATTGCACTTTGAGTAGCTGAAATTTATACAGCTGGTCCCATATCTGATGTGGTACTGTCCTCACCTGTTCCATGTACAGGCTTGCCATAGAATATCTTTTAATCTAAAACACAGCTTGTGAAGGACAGTGTCATACCGTTACAAAGTGATGCTGCAAGAGATATTTGCTTCTGTGTCTGTGTTTCATTACTACAGCTTTCAGGAAGAGAGTGCTTTCTCATTAGGAGAGTGAAAGCTACTATTGGGTATGTTGATTATCTTTGTTTTTGTTTGCTGCAGCAAACTGCTTGCAGGCGGTGACAGAAGATAATCCAGATCTTCTTTCTTCATTCAGTGCTTCTGCACAACAGGTATTGGAAACCGTGATGTTGTGTCCAGAGAGCACGATGAAGCATATCCTCCTGAGAACAGTGATAGCAGGTATGATGCTTGAGGACCTTCATTTCTTTGTGATGGACACCATGGCAGGTAAAGGAGGCTGGCAAGGACAGAGGGCTTAGTCTTCCCTACTGTACTTTGGACTTCTGATTGTTAAAGCCTATATCGACGATTCGTGAGGCTTTTTTTGCCTTTTGGGATTGTGTTTTAGGGTGACCAGATATTGGCAATTAGTTTTAAAACAGCTGTCTTAAATGCTTGATTCTGAACTCCGTCCCTGCTCGCTGTGATAACCTATTTTAACTGTTCATTTGCTTTTCAGTAGTGAAAGGAGTAAATAATAAGTATCACAGGAATTGTTCTGATTCTAATAGACACAGATTTTTAGCTCAGATTTTCTACATTGCATTATTCTTTCTACCTCAGCTGCTCAACCATGGTGATTTTTGATAGTGGAATGTAATAAATTAATTTTGAAAGTCCTTAGGAAATGGTTCTCTCATGAGGATTTGTTATGGCAGGTAAAAAATGCCACCAAGGTTACTCCACATAAATATTCTGTGTATACTTACATGCTGAAATTTACTTGAGCTTAAGATGTGGGCATAACATAGTTGTTACAGATGAATATGTGAAATGGTAAGCACAAAAGACCCCAAAAATCAGTAGAGGAAAGACATGAACATTCATACTGAAACATAAGCACTGAGTATTTTAAGTAGTGGAGGCTGTGTCATTACAAAATACATGGCTATTACAGAGCTGGGAATTGAGTGTTTTCATAATTTTTTTAATTTCAACTATCTCATGTTTAGGCACTATCTGGAATATCAAGGAAGCCATTCCACCAGGCAGCCTGGGGAGCATGGTTAATGCAATCCTGAAGATTTTTTCAGAATCGTTAGCAATAGATGCTGGTGAAACAATTATTCGTATGAATGAAGCTGAAAAAAACAGATTAAAACTTGCTTCGGAGGCAGAAACAGAGGAAACCATGAGTGATGTTATAGACGACTGTGTTTTGAGTGAAGATGATGACATGGAAGAAATACCAAAAGGAAAAGTTAGGAGAGAAAACGACATTTCAGATCTACTTCCAGTAAGTGTGGCTGTCTGGTTCCCATACAGCTTTAGTGTGTCTGACTGGTCCTGAGTCAGCATTAACCAGAGTAAACTAGCTAAGAGTGTTCCTGATCCTAACCAGGAGTTAGGATTAGGTGACTATTTCAGCGAAAACCTCAAAGGTGAGTGTGTAAGATTTCAGCACAACTTGTTCCAGTGTGGTCAAGTTGTACAGCACATGGGAATATGCTTTCCTGGTGTTTTTTCTCTACTGGAAGGTATAGGCTTATCTGACACTCCTACCTGTAGCTACTGCGACAAGTTCTGATTTCTGCATGAGGCAAATGAGATTTTTAATGGCTGCAACCATTCAGTCATGCATGCAGATGGCTCAGAGATTAACAAATACTTTCGCTATTGCATACATGAAAAGAGTAACAATAAGACATGTTTCTGTTAGATGTTTTGCTCACATTAGGTAATCTTTTCTCTTACAACTTTAGTGAAGGTGGCGTTTCTTGAAGTTAAAACTTGCTCTGAAACATCCAACAGCAAGATGATAAATAATGGCTCTTGATTTTGTTGTGTGGATTTTTTTTGTTTTGGTGTTTTTGTTTTTTTTTAAGTGTTGGTGTAGGATGAGAAGAGGAAATGGCTAGACTGTATTTGTAGGTGACAGCTTGGGTACTTTAAATTGCACTGAAATGTTGGTTTACAAAATTAAACTTGGTTTATGTTTTTATTTTTTTAGTCTGATAAGTGGGAACTGAAAGAAGTGACAGCTTTACTGACAGCTCAGCAGACTGCTCTGGAAATCATTGTTAATATGTGCTGCAGTGAAGGTTTGTAGAACTCCTTTTCATTGCAAGTGTTGTGCATTTTGTGTCTGGAACGGGTGTTTATTTTGCTTCTTGATGATCTTAATTTAAATGGTTTTTTTCTAATTTAAGTAATTTCTGTTGTGTACATGCTTTTTTTATGATACTACATGTGACAACATTTAGGAACAAACCAAAAAGCAATTGTGCCAAAGAGATTTCCTGAAAAGTATTGCAGCAAATTCTTTGTCTGATTAGAGCGCAGTCTGAGTGTTCCTCTGATACAATATGGGTGTGAATTTTATTGCAGGATGCGGGCATCAGGGTTTTTTAAGCAGATAAATCTTGTGGTTTTGATTTAGTTTTGATACCACAAGTGTTACAAAAGGAGGAGAGACAGGTTTTGCATGTAACTATCAGCAATGCAGATTTAGGCTGTTCTGCCTTTGAGCTTCTTTGCAGGGGAGAAAGAAAGGCTGTTACTCTCAGGGGAGTAGGAAATAGCTCTGTATCTTCTGTGAACTCTGACACTCGATAACTTTTCTCCCAATCTTCAGGAAAATAAGGAATTCTCAAATTCTGTTTAAAAAAACCCAAAGAACAAAAAACCAAAACCTATCCCCAGATCCCTCCAAAATCTGAAAATTTTAACTGCTACTACAGTTGGTAAGCCTGATGCAAAAGTAATTGTGTAGGAGTTAACTTTGAGTAAGTCTTTCAAATTCTAATAAAATCCACAGTAATACCCAAATATTCCCAATGGTGAGAGTTTTTTCCCTCTTGCAGCACAAAGAAATTCTGCACTTAGTATGTGAAGCTTCTTTCATAACTGCATTTCTCATCTAATGAGCTGTAATTCATAAGTTCTCCCCTTTAATTGGAAAATCTCTTGTGGATAAGCTGCATATTCTGCCATTTACTCAGCGTAATATAAGGTTGATTGTGTTGTATTTTGCTACGGCACTTTACCCATTCACAGGCAGACAGAAACATAGTCTGTAGAAATTAAGAGGAATCCAGAGGCAGCTGTTCATTTAATTTTCAAGTTATTTGAGAACTAAAATAGCTTTAGCCATTATGCCGAGTTCATAGAAAGACTCAGCTTGCCACAGAGCCGAGGGAAATAATAAGGCTGGCAAGAGACGTGTTTCACTGAATGCTGGCTGACATTTGCAAGAAGCAGAGTGCTGTCCCCTTAACAGGGAAACGGGAAGGAAGCCAGGAGACTCCAGCACTGCTGTCCAGTCTGTAGTTCATGGGTTACCAGTGCTGGTTAAGATGTGATTGCCATTGGAAGTGCTTCTCTATTTCCAAGAATGTTACAAGAAAAAAACTTCTTAGTTATGGGCTAATGTTGTGGCACTCAGTTCTTTCTCGGTCCTGGTCCCTCACAGTGAACATAGGATGACCGTTGTTTTTGTTTTCTTTTGCTTTGTTGTCTTTTGCTAAATTGAGTGGTCACCTCATATAGTTATCATTTCGTTTTCAAAAGAGATTTTTGTTTGCTTTGAAAAGATGCAGATGGAATTTGCTTTGGCTTGTTGTGCTGCCATTATTTCCTTTCAGTGTCCGAAATATCCTTTTGCTGGCCTTGCTGTGGACACAGTAACATCTTCATCCAGCCCAGTTACTCCCCAATGGGAGCACATCTGTCTGTGGCTTCAGGATTGGCACAGAAACTGTTGCCTTAAACTGTTAGTAAAATAAGTTGCCTTAAACCGGTGTATTTGAATGCTCGAATCTACCTCAAAAAGTAAAATGGTACAATCCAAGTTAAAATCTTAGTAAATACTTTATGAAATGTTTCTTCTGTAGCTTTTTTTGATATCTTTAAATCAAGCACAGCTAGTGTCAGGGATTGAAGTACCTGAGCTTAAAGAGCACTCTCATAAACATACATGTTGCCTGAGTGAAAATAAAATAAACATTTAAAACAAAACAAAACAACAATTTAAACAAAAGTAGTATAATATTTAGAACTGTCGCTTAATGGTAATTGGTTTGTGTAGACTTCATTAGAGCCCAAGAGTTTAAAGACTCCTAAACACAAGAGGTTGCTTTGGTGAGACCCCACCTGGAGTACTGCATCCAGTTCTGGAGCCCCCATTACAAGAGGGACCTGGACCTGCTGGAGCGTGTCCAGAGAAGGGCCACAAGAATGATCTGAGGGCTGGAGCAGCTCTCCTGTGAGGACAGACTGAGACAGTTGGGGCTGTTCAGTCTGGAGAAGAGAAGGCTCCGAGGTGAACTTATTGTGGCCTTCCAGTATCTTAGGGGGGCCTACAAGAAAGCTGGAGGGACGTTTTAGGCTATTGGGTAACGACAGGACTAGGGGGAATGGGGCAAAGCTGAAAGTGGGTAGATTCAGGCTGGATGTGAGGAAGAAGTTCTTCACCATGAGAGTGGTGAGACCCTGGAATGGGTTGCCCAGGGAGGTGGTTGAGGCCCCATCCCTGGGGGTCTTTAAGGCCAGGCTGGATGAGGCTCTAGACAGCCTGATCTAGTGGGAGGTGTCCCTGCTCATGGCAGAGAGGTTGGAACTGGGTGACCCTTGTGGTCCCTTCCAACCCTGAGAGATTCTGATCTGTTTTAGCAGAGGACTTTAGAGCCCTAATGGCTCAATGGTTGGACTTGATGATCTTGAAGGTCCCTTCCAACCTAAAGGATTCTATGATTCTAAGTATAATTGAGGAGTAGAATACCTGTTGCGTGAGTGCTGTTAGAAGTCTGGCTTCTTTTTCAGATCCCTCTGATGATGAATGGGAAGAACTCTCCAGCAGTGATGAAAGCGACTTGTTTATGGAAAACTCATACAATGAGGGGAGTGGGCTGCTGCTGTCACCCCTGTGCCTCTCTGATGAGGTTAACTCAGCATTTCTGAACAACCTCATTCCAAAAAAGGTATTCTCTTTTATTTCCAACACCTGGTACTGTCTCTCCTTTGTGCCTAATTTGTATCCCAGGTTAGCAAATTACCCAAATCCATTTATTTTTTTGTTTTAAAATCAGTTCAGCTTCACTTCTTTTGGCCTAGAGGTGGAGCATCTCCACATGAGCTGACTTGACCTAAGTAATTGTTATATGAAACTGGGAATAGAAGGTTCATGTGTTTCAGAAATCTGGTGTGGGTTTTTTGGGAAGTATGTGGTGATGGTAGTGGTGTTTTAATTTGGCTTTTCCAAAATACAAAAATGATTATTCCTTCATTTGGACATGGAAAAGATTACTTGCAAGAAGAAAGGAAACTTTGAGCAGAAGCATGACTGTCAAATTTCCATATTAGCTATGTGAGGTGGAAGTAACATATATGAATGACAACAGTCAGCGCTGAAAATGTCAAGTTCCTCTTCCCCCTGTTTTATACATATTGTCTGAAGTACAATATTTGATGCTGACAAGAATTTAGATGCTCTTGTTTCAGAGTTGTTCATTCTTATTTGGGGCTGTAAAAATCAAGTTTGTAATTTGAATTGGTTATTATGCTAGTTCAGCAGCATTGTAGGAATTCTGACCAAAGACATCAAGGTGCAAGATGAAAACATTCAAGGCTTTTTTGTACTTAATAATAAGCAAGTTTCATGGCAAGGTCTTTTAGACTTGCAGCTATCTGAAAATTCTGTGGCGGAATCTGCAAAAAGAAAGAGCTAAATAAAAAGAATAGCAGAGACCTAGAAAACCACCTTTTGTTCAGTACAGTAGGATACTTGCAATTATACACAGGGTTTAGCATAGCATATTTTATCGGTTGAGTGATAGAGGGAGATTCTGGCATTTTTAGCAGGTGAGACACTTGCTTCCTGGGAAGCTTTGAAATCTGTAGTTTGAAGTATCTGTTTGACATTAAGCTAAAATTTCAGTCTTTTCTCCAAAAACACACACGCACATTGCTTGATTGCTAAACCTTTCTTTTTCCACTCCCCAGATTCTTGAAAAAACTGCTTTTCCGAACAGTGTTGCTCTAGACATCTGTATGCACAATCCGTCTTGGAAACCATTAATTAAAAAGTAGGCATTTCATTGACTCTTACTATTTTTCTTGTATATTCACTTGTTTTAGAAGTTTTAGAAGGATTGTCTGGTTTTGGATTACTTTTAAGATCTGAATAATGGCAGATCTGATACGTGATGCTGACTAAAGAGATACAAATGTTTCTGTAAACTGCACACCAGATCACAGCCTTTTTAATTCAAGATTCTTTGTGTTTTGACACCTGTTTTCAAAGAGATCTGCAAAGTGCATTTTTTGTTTGTTTGTTTCAGACTGAATATGGTGCAGTGTCGAGCTTTAACGTGTCTTCACAGCATTTTGTTAGTGTCAGACGTGGATTGCCTTGGAGGAACCTCAGCCCTTCAGTCCCTTGCACAGCATCTCTCACAGCTCATCTTTTCTAAAATGGGTAAGATGTTCAGCAAACGGGGTTTGCTGATCCCCTTTGCTGATCATACAGATGTCAGGTAGCCGTGTATATTGTTAAGTTTTAATACAATTTTACTACTGATTTTATCCCTTTAGCCTTTCAAAATAAGGGTATGGAATGTCGGAAATGCGCTGACCAAACAGTATATCCTGTTAAGGTGTGTTTATCCAAATTGCATCTCGAACAAGTGTGTTCCTAATGCAAGAATATGCTTTACATCTGTGTCTGCACACAGTCTCCAAGTTAGTGGATGAATCCTGCTTTCCTGTGAGGCCAGAGCTGTTTGCAAGACCATATTTTTGATAATTGCAGTTTCTCATCAATCAGATGAGAAGATGGGACGACTTTTTTTTTTTTTTTTTTAAATGTGCTAACCTACCTAAATAGACACGTGACAAAAAGGGTATCTGGCACAGTCTTTCACATATTTTTTTTTGGAAGCCATATGAAATTATGATAAAGGTGACTGTGGAAAAAATCTTGAGAATGTACATGCTTATCACAGTAGGAGAGAGAGCAGCCGCCTCGTCTCAGGGGTATGCTTTATGCGTATGCTTGCATAGCTTCATTGAAAACATATTTGTAATAAGAAAATGTGCAAAGCTTTAATGACTAAATATTAAAGTTGTTCAACTTCCTGTTATGGTGATGGCTCGATTTCAATGGAGAAGGCAATAAATTTCATTTTTCTAAAAATACAATTTTAGAATATCAGAGATATCCTGGTAAACACTAGAATGTATCCAGTATAGTTCCTCTAAGACATATATTATGTCATAGAGATACTGTAATGGTTTCCCTATACATCTGCTGGTATCAGTATTATTGGATGGTCTAGGGTAGGTACACAGCAGTTAGCATTCCTAGCTACCTCCTATGATCTTTTACATCAGATGAGCATCATTCCATTAGTACTGTTGGACCCTTGATCTCTCTGAGCTACTTCATTCAGACTATTCTGATAATCTGTTTTTGCTTCAAGGTCACTGATAATGGCTTTTCAAAAAAGATAAGATACATTCTTAGAAGCTGCAAAAGCCTGCCAATTCTTAAAATTGTCAGAAAAAAACATTTTTCCCATGACAGATCTGTTGATGTCTAGCATATGCATGGCTTTGTCATTTCTTGTCGCTTAGAAGCTTGAGAAGTTCAGTTTTCTTTCCTTCCTTCAAGCATTTTTGTGGCCAAAAATGTGTTGTTTGTAGTTCTTGCTGTAGTATGTAGTATGACACTGCACTAATCCTTAAAAATGCATCTTCCTGCAAAACATACTTTCTTCTCTCTGTCATTAAAAGCATGTGATCAGTCTAAAGGAACGTTATTATTGAGAGTGTAGTGCTTGAAAAATTAAAATGCAGGAGGTGAAACTAAGTTTGAAGACATATGCAAGGAAAATCACCTAAAATATTTGTCTCATACTAGAAGAGCAGGACTCCCAAGACTTCAGGGTCTACATGTTGTGCTTCACGATAGTCACGAAGTTCTTAGATGAAACTAGAGAAGTGACTGGGTGAAGATAGGGTGTGCTAATAAGTTAGTTTAATGGCCTGGGTACATTTTTGTTAATTTAATATGTTTTTAATAGTTAAATGCATTGTAATGGAAACTATCAGATAGACACACCAACATGTGGTTAAAAGAAATTCTGTGGTTTACAGGGTGGAAATAAAGGTGTAAAGGTCTAGTTGCTAACATGGGAAAGGAGGAAATAGACATGAAATAATCAAGAGCTTCTGCATCTGGAGTGGTCTAGAAAATATGAACAGGGAAAAGAAAAAGCTTCTGCAAATGCAGAACCTGTGCTGAAGAGGAATGCTGTTATTGATGAATTTGTAGTTAAACAAGAATAATACAGTGTTTGAGTCGTACATTTCTGAAAGGTTATTAAACCACCAGAAAACATACTCTTTATATGAATTGGAAAGAGTCCAGTGTTCTGGGTGACTAAAAAGCCTGTGTAGAAGACAGAAGAAAGGAGTAAGTACAGTGTAAGTACAGTGAACTTCTGTAGTTTTCTCAGCGCCTGTATTGCAGCTTCCATGCAATGCCAGTTTCCAAGCTTCTGTTCTGACAGCTGTGGTTTGTACATACCCTAGGTCACACAAGTGTTTTACCCAGGGATGTGCCTGAAAACAAGGACCAGCTGTGGTCTAACCTCTAGATGCAATTAATACTGACTTCAAACAAATCACTATGGTTACAAACAACAAAGACCAGTCTCTGAAAATCTAGCTCTTCCTGTTTGTGGTAGTACGTGGAGGAACAATTAAGGGATTATAGAATTTGTTCTTTGCTTCTCATGTACTTCATCTTACTGTTTAACTTTTGGCTCTGGGTTCAATTCTTTGACAGAACTCCCTACAGACACAGAATTCCTGGAAGCCATAACCAGTGCTTTGAGGGCTCTCCTACAAACAATGGCATCAAAGAACATCTCCCAGGTAAAAGCTTTCAAGTTCAAATGTTTTAGAAGGCTCAAATTTGCTGGAAAGATTGTGCTGGAAAGTTTTTTGAAACAAAACCATTTAAATGAAGTGCTAAATTTCAGTTACTGTGAACAGTGAAAGAACAGATTTAATAGCATTCATTCTGTTTTTCATGGACCTTACAGGAATATGGTTTACATATCTCCTCCTTAACATGAAGAATATTTCAATACCAAAATAGCAACAAACCACAGGTTGTATCTTTAGGAGATGGATATAATGACAAGCATTTAGTAAATTAGCACCTAGGAACATAGCGTCTTTATTTCTTGATGTTGTCTAGTTGGAGCTGGTTGTCCTTCTAGAATCTTGGTTGGACATGAATTAGTGAGCTAAATACAGGAATGAAGCAGAATAGTTTGTTATACAAGATGTAATTCTAGATGGTCTGCTAGTCCTTTCTGGCTTTAAACTGAAAAATTGAGCTTCTATACTGTCAAGTTGTAATGAGTTGGAAGTAGCCACTGAGCTAGGTAAATTGGTGAAAATCCCTTTGAGCTCAGAACATTTTACTTCAGCTTCATGACAGTCTTGGTTATGTTCTGGAATACACACCATTAAGAAGTTGAAAGGGAGAGTTTAACTGTTTTCTTGCCAAGTACATTTTCAGAATTCCTGCAGTTTTCATAACACAGGACTCTTGTTTCTCTGTTATAAATTTGCCTGTGTTCAATAAAAGCGAATAATCTGAATGTCACATTTGAAAATTTCCATGAAAATTTAAATACTTTTTTTTTTTTTCTCTCTCTTACTGAACAGTGTATGACACCTGAGCAGCTATTGCATTTATGTGAAGCTGGTATTCACAGCAGCAATGCCAGCGTTAGAGTGAATGTAGTGAGCATCCTTGGAATTTCTGGCAGTGTCCTGGCGAAAGGACAAGATACAGCTGAGACACTAAAGGTGAAAAAGCAAACTTTGCATTGCAAGCCTAAACCACGTTGGACAATGCCTTCAATTTTGTTAAGCATTGCTGGAAAAATAATTTTTTTTTTCTTTTATTTCAGATGATTGGAAAATTTCTTCTTGAGGTTGCCATGAAAGAATCTTCTCTTGTGGTAGCAGGGGAAGCCTTGGATGCAATTTTTGATGTGTTTGCAGATGGTAAAGAGGCAGAAAAGGCGGCAGTGCAGATCAAGTTGCTTCCGGCACTGAAAGAATTTCAGCCAGTGTTCAAAATGAGGGTAGGCATCAAATGCAGCCAGCTCAGGGTCTCAACATGCAATGTGGGTGAAAGCTTTGAGATTTGGGCTGCTAGAAGAGATAAGCACCAATGTATGGCTTTATAAGATGACCCCAAAAATAAATAAAAAAAAAACCAACAAAATAATTGAATTTCTGATATCCTGCTTTAGAGGAAACCAAATACACTTACCTTGCAGTTCATGGAAGTTCATGCAGCATCTGCATTGCAACTTCTGCGTTACACCATGAGCATTATTGATGTCCAAATCACTGCTTTGTTCTGAAATCCTTGTAAAAAAATCCTGCAGATGTCTGTCGAGGAGAACAGCTGAATTGGTGGGAGAGAAGTCCTTTATGAAGTTACGTTGACATCTTTTCGTGTTAACTTGCTGCAGTTGCAGGTGTTCATTTTTGTGCTGTTGGTTAATTAAAATAGACCATGTATTCTGTATTTTCAAGAATTATAAGGCCAAAATTCTAAACAGTAATTTTAAGTACATCCTTGACGTATGGAAGGTCATTCTCCATTTAATATGTTTCTCTAGTCAGATGAAGCCTGAGGAGTGATTTTCATGGTCTTTAAGCACTATATACAAAAAATACGCACCTGACAGTGCTAAGTTTGGTTAACTAGATGTGCAAGGTCTTTCATATAAAAAGCTAGAGAAAATAAGCGTGTTTCAGATTTATGAATGAAATAGCATGCCAACAGTAGGCTAGTTTTAGGCAGAGATGTATTATAGTAAACTGACTTGCAGAAAAAATTGCTAGCTACACATGTGCACATGCAAATACTGTAGTTCTCAAAAGGTGTGGGTAGCATGTATTGATGCAAGGCCTGTATAGAATTACTATAAACTAGGTGATTCTCCATTAGCAAAGTATGTATTTTTCTGTTTCACAGATGCGAAAAGAAGGCAAAGGACAATATAGTGCAGATCAACTGTGTGTTCTTGACAATGTGAAGATGAATTTGAGAAGATTCATTGCATATCAGGAGACACTAGGGAAAAACCCAACTTGAGACATCGAGGAACTTTTAAGGTTTCCCTTACTAAATAATGTTTTCCAAAAAAATAACTGTTTTGAACTTCTAAAATATATTGAGCAGAGCAGTTTTGTTACCATGTCAGTACTGCAGTTTTTTACATTCAGTATTTTTATACTTCTGGGTTGATGCAATGTGAAAGTTATATCAGTGTAAAAAAACCATAGCATACGTGGCGATTAAGTGCTGGTGGTGGTAAGAATGTGCTCTTGCAGTCCTGACATCTGTGCATAGCACCACTGTCATTGTATAGAAATCCTGTATCCTGGCAGAAAACTATAACTGCATGAAAAAGTGATTTAGAGAATATGCTTGGTTATGTGCCTGATCAAGAAAAAAGTTAAAAGCTCAGGATATTTTTCAGGGAATTGAGCAGTGGCAGAATGTTCATATTTGCTATGTGCTCTTACCTATTTTTAGAATTGCACAGGCACTTATGGCAAAATTCCCAAGAGAAGTGTGTGACAAGTGTGCAGATTACTGTCAGCACTTGGATCTGTTACTTCACAAGGTTTATCCACAGAAAAATGGTTTCAGATTAATTTATGGCAAATTCAGTATGATGGCTTTTTGCTGTAGAAATCAGTGTCAGAGGATCCTACATTTACACGCAGCTCCCTGGTTTTTACTTAACTTTGATTGGTATTTCTGAAAATCCAGTCTCCTGCTTTACTTTCTTCCTTCTATATCAGGAGGAATTTGAGTTCAGGGAAGTAGTAAACCAAACCTAAAGAAAAAAAAAATTTTTTTTGCTATACCAAGGTATTGACTAAAGTAACTTTATACTTGCTTAGAATATCTTTTTCAAATATTTGTGATTGAGATTTTTAAGCTGTAAAATACAGAAAATATTTTTAAAAAAGTCACTGATTCATGAAGATTGTATATGAGCTTCTGTATATGAAAGGCTTTGGTTTTGTTTCTGTGAATGAGATCCTTCCATACACATTTTTTAAAGGAAAAAAAAAACACAACCAAACACAAAAGCATTTTGTTATGTTCGTTTTTGGAATGGGATTTTTCCCCCCTATTCTTTAAACATGCTGCCTTAGCACAGGCATCTAGTTTTTGCCAAAAATTTGCCTGTGGTGTTAGGCATGGAACTCGAAAGACCTAATTTGCTCGGTTTGTTAGATTTCAGTCTCTTACATTGGAAAGCGGGCTCAGGACCTGCTGGGCTACTTGCAAGTGACTGTCTTTATGAAATCCTGACCTGGTATTTTGTCAAAAGCAGGAGAAAGTAAACTGCCTGGAAGTCCTGCTACTGCTATTACATTACAGGAGTTGGGTGAAACCTGTGGTGTGTGATACCTGCGAATCAAATAAGTGAGCGAGAGTGTGGGATGGGGAGGGCTCAAGAGCCATTGAGCCTGGCCTGGAGGAGTCCTGAGGAGCATGGAGCAGTGGAAGGGTTATCCTGGGACTGGGCAAGGGCAGGCAGCAAAAATGGCTGGGGTGTAAGAGCTGAGGAAAGAGTAGCTAGGTGGATTATGGCCAAAGACTGCACAGTGGCTGGATTTTAATCCTCATGTTAGTTATACTTGCTGTACACTGAGCATAGTACAATATTAGCCTGATAAGAGGTATTAATATTTGTTTGGAGCACTTAAAAGGACTTTAACGCAGAAGTTCTGCTCTCATTTTCTGGGTACTACATCGAATTGCAGGATGATCTAGGATGGAAAGGATCTTTGGAGGTCTCTGAGTCCCATCCCCTGCTCAAAGCAGGACAGCCTGGAGACATACAGGTTGTGCAAGGCCTTAAGCATTCCACAACCCTGGACAGCCTTTTCCAGAGCCTGACTGCCCTCGCTCTGAACACTTGTGGGTTTTTTTTTTTCTTCTTCTGCTTGTATTTAGTAGGACTTCTCCCCACTGCAAAATGTGCCCCTTTGCCTTTGACTGCACACCGCTAAGAAGAGTCTGGCTCCGTCTCCTCTTAGAACTACCATTTGGTAGTTGAAAATAACAACTCTATTCCCCTCTTCTCTAGGCCAAATAAACCCAGCTTCTTCAGACCTTCCTTGTGTGTTGTGTGCTCTAGCCCTCTGACTATCTTGGCAGCCCTCTGCTTGACATGCACTACTGTCTCTTGTACCGGGGGGGGGGCCAAAAATGAACACAGTGCTCCAGATGTGATCTTGTGAGTGCTGAATAGGGGGAAGTGATGAATTTTCTTGACCTGGTGGCCATGCTCCTGCCAATGCAGCATATTATTTGTTAGCTGTCATCACTGCAAGGCTGCACTGCTCACCTCTCTTCACCTTTCTGTCCACCAAGACCCCTAGGGCCTTCTCTCTGAAGCTGCTCTTTGGTCATTCACTCAAGAGCCTGGCCTGTGTCATAGGACTACTCTATCCCAAGTGTAGGATTTCGCATTTTACATCAAGTGTAGCACTCAAAGTCTGGTTCCTGGGGACTGTTAGAACAATTAATTATGTTTTGGGGTTTTTTTTTTAGATTACTGAAAAGAAACATTGTCTTCAAATATGAACCTGAAAGTTGTAGGTAAATACATAGAAGAGAAAGCGCATTCACTAAAAAACTTGGTTTTGTTAGTACAATCTATCAGACCCTGTTTTTTTTTTTTTTTTTCCCTTCAAGTAAAAAGACAGTCCTGTAGATTTTAAAGTATTGGAGCAGTAGGGATGCCTGGATGATTTGTTTTTTTTGGTGCTGTGCACTGATCAGTTCAATGTCTTAAAAAATACTTTGTATCATAGTTAGCTGTGCAGTATGAACTGTATGGCTTGCAGAAGTATATGATATTTAGTGGTTAAAATATTTGTTTCTGTCTGCTGGTAAATATGCCATTTCTGGCTAATAGATGAATGAGAAATGAGGACATATGAAGGCATTTTGATTTCTTGTGAGCTTTGTACTAAAACATACAAAACCTAAAATAACGCCTTCACCTTTGTTTATCTGAGGAGACCAGAGCACTTTACTGGGCCTGGGGCATGAAATGCTGACAAGGGGAAGCTTCTGTCTCCAGCTCACTAGGTAGGTTTGGGTTGATACAGAGGTAAGCTGTAGCTCTTGGGAGGTGTTTTGGTTTTGTCATCACTAATATTAATGACACACCTATGTGTTCCTAATATCCCGTGTTGTAAGATCTTTCCCAAAGTGTATTGCCCTTACCAGTGGTCCATCATGGAGCCCTCATCTTCCTTTTGGGGTTTCTAAGATACTGTAGTTAGTAATAATAGTTAGCCAACTGCATTTTTTGAGTCCAGACTTCTATTTATCTTTTATTTCTTTTAGTCTGTCACCTGCCTAGCTACAAGTTTAGCGTAACTTGCTTTTTGTGTCTAGTGAAGGGCTTATGACTGAAAGAGAGGTACTAATTTTGTACCTTAGAGAGCACATTCTGTTTGTAAGGGACAAGACAGAAGATAATAGGAAAAGCATGGAAGACTTGTCTGCAGAAGACAAGGCACTAAGTTATCAGTGATGTGAAGAAGTGTCAGACTGGGGCCTAAAACCAGATGAGATTTATAAGTACAAAAGAGCGAAGCTGTAAGATTTGGGTTAGAAAAGTTGTTCTGACACAGTTAAGGAAAATTAAGGCAGCAGCAGAAGGGATGATCTGGTGCAAATTAAATGTTTTGGCACCTCTTTTGGCACCAGTTAATTTAAATAGTTCTAGGGTAAGCTTGAGATGAAGACAAGATCCTTGGCAACCTACAAAAGCAAAGCCAGATCTTGATACTTGGAGAGTGCTAGAAACTGGACGTATCTAGAAAGTGTGCAGCATCACTAAATAAATGCTAAACAGATGTAAGTGATCTTCATCAGTTTATGTAATCACACAGGTAAGACTGGTGTCAAAACAGGTATCTGAAATGGAATGTTTGCTTATCCTGGTTCCTAAGGCATCATCTGTCTGTGCTTCATATAAAATCTGCAATTCTTTGAAAGTATGGATTGCTGCTTCCCTGTCTGACGCTTAGCACAACAGAATCTGGCTCCGAGCTGAGATTTTTATACCAAAATAGGTGCAGAATTTAAGTCTGTCTGTGGTATTATGTCAAGAGTTTAGTGAGAGCTGTGGACAGGCTTCTGCCCTGTGCAGAAGCAGCAACATGGGAGACATTTGCTGGTGCTTTGGCCTTTCCACAGCCTGCAAAATGTTGAATCCCCAACTGTGTAGATGTGGAGTTATCACTGCTATGTGGTTTTATTTTTGCTCTCTATGAAAACAAGCAGTAAGATTTAAATGAACATTTTTTGTGAAGTACTTTTTATACGACATACCTTGATGTTCAGAAGATGGCTGTAATGTGTATACCACATTACAGTCAATAGTTTAAATATTTGGGGTTTGTTGTGTGTGTAAGGTTTGGGTTTTTTTGCACAGTATGTTTTTTTTTTTAAATATTGCCATCTTAGAGGAGCAAGAATAACTTTTACCAGTACTACTCAGCTTGGGTTTACATTTGTATTTTGAGAGAAAATACAAAAAAAATTAGAGCATGGTAAAATTACAAAATGAGAACTTTGTCAGAGAAGAAATTAATTCAAAATCTGTTTGTAGTTTAAGTATTATAAATGCAATGCACATCTTGTGGAATATTAACATAAAACAACCAACCAAAAATGTGCATAAACTCAAGTGCTGTTTCCTTAGTGAGTAATTTTCGGTGGAAGCATTCTCAGAGGGTTGGATAGCAACGTCTAGCCTTATGCTTACTGTTGCAAATCCAAATTCAGGCAATGGTCATTGTAACCAAAAATAATGTAGCTGTTCCTTTCTGGCAGACGAATTGAGCAAACAGTCTAGATATCTTAACTTTAAGATAATTAATTGGCAAAAGCTGAAAACTTGGACAGTCATAACAGATTATGGAACTTAGAAGGTTTTCCACAAGGGCTGAAACATGGTGACCCTTTCTGTCTGGAGAGGGTTTTACTTGTGTTTTTTTTCCTTTTGTCTAATTCCCCAATACACTCAAATGGTTAACTTTGGTACCTTCCAGAGAAACAGCATGCATTTAAGTCAATTCACTCTCATTTCATTTTGTTCCTATATTAATTTCATAAGTTCCTTGTTTCTGTTAGAGGCATTTTGTCCAACATAATTCAGTGACCACATAAAAACATAGTTTGAGGCTTGCACACAAAGGATACGGTAAGATGCTTTTATTTCCTTCAAATCTGGATGTGAGGAACTCCTTGCATTACTGTTGTATTAAGGGCTTCAGTCAAACTGTGAACTGAAGTAAGGCGCCAT